AAAGGTTGTCTACCTGGATGAAAGTAAGAGCATTGTTCACTATATACATACATATATGTATATATATGTATACTATATACTATATGTGTTCACTATATACGTACATATACATATATATATGTATACACATATATACATACGTATGTGTATATGCGTATATACATTTATATGTATATATATCTTTTTTCGCTGACATTCTTGATTTTCCAAAATTTCATGGCCAGGAAACGAACACCTGAACGGATTTTTTATAGGTCGCCACATGTGAAGTGCTTAACTAACAAGCTTTTAACGATAAAAGTAACGGCGGCTAATGCGTTCTCGTAACAAATTTGCATTTTAATTCGTGAGGAAAAGAAAACGTTTGCACTGCGTGAAAACTTATGGAAGAATATTATTGCCCATTAGGGCGAACGGAAAAAAAGCCTTTGCATACTTCTTCACTTTTCCGTCTTTTCATCAAGACTCTCACAACGAATGGCGACGAATACTTAGGTAAAACATAGTCCCCGGGCAAAATATTTGAAAGGGAAGCACAATTTCCTTTTTACTTTTACGGATCAACCGGCGTTAATTATTTGCAGCCACTTTTACATAGCTCAGTAAGACATATAGAGCACAGAAAATAATTGGTTCATTTTTGTTATTGCACGCCCATAAAGCTCACGGACGAAGTGGACATGCCTCTATGGGACATGCTTACGAATGTTACTCATGAGAGGAATGTTGGACCAGTAAGAGTTAATTGTGGGGAGATGTGCTTTCATATTGCCGATACGTGGAGTTTCAAGCCAACCAGCAACGATCATGTGCTTGCCTTCAGAGGAAGTAGTTAGGAAATTCGCTGAGATTGCCCTTCCATTCCAAGTCGGATTTATATATTCACTCCATGTGCGCTATATCTATTTAAATATAAGCGATTGTTTTTAGGCGCATGAGAAGTGTATTTTTCATATGTATTTTTGGTTAAGAATTCGCTTGACAAGGTGGCTAAGAAGTGCTGGAGGTCCTACTTGGAATCGTTATATTCTAGGGTTTCATGTTCGCTCCTGGAAAATTCGAGAAACTAGCAAAGAGTACATCGAACGCTTATGGTAGACCTCATGGGCATTCTCCGTTTTATCTCCTCTCCATAAATTTCTACAAAAAGTAGTATAACTTATGCAGAAGATGAGATCCTCCTGGTGTCCGAGCTAACGTGGGCTGTCTGATGAACATCCTTAGGAAGAGCAAACGAGTGTTGTAGTGCTACTCATCCCATTCAGACGACATGTAAAGTTTGTCTTCGACATTATGGGTTACGCTACCAAGTGGGTCGCTTCCGCGGCGAGTGCATTAAGGAAATAATGTGTATCGTTTAAAAAAAGGCGTGGTTTTCGTTCATTTCCAGAGCATCGGAAAGCATAATCGTATTTCCGGTGACGTAAGTTCACTCAGTCGCTGATGGCTTGTCAAATCTAGAAGCTCGAAATCAAATTAGTCGTTGTTTTAGATTTCGTAACTAATCTAACACCAGTCAGGCTTCTTCTAATTATTCGTAGCAAAACGTGATGTGATCACTGACATCATTTTGAATTTCTAATTTCACCAGATGACATCCAATAGTATAACGATCGACATTTTCTCTTCTCTATTGCTTTCCATGAACAACATCGTTTTCTGACAATTTCTGGATAGAAAATAGGCCCCACAACGAGAGCTTTGCATTTTTGTTGATATTTGCTTAATATATCGCCTTAATAAATTTGTTTGACAGTGTTTTCCCTATTTCATTCATTTCCTCTTAACAGCAGAACTGTAGCGTCTGAATCTGACCCACGAATCAGTAATAATGGCTCGCCATTTCTTTTTCTCTTTTCCATTGGTAGAGTTTCTGAAATATAGCACAATTTGATGCGTTCAGTCAAATTATAGCCTTATCTCCATGGAATTTCATCGTGGAGAAATTTGCTGAATAAGTCTTTAATAGATCATAATCAGTGGTTTCAATGGTCATAGTATAAGCTGTACAAAATGGAATGTAGTAAAACTTAGAAAAACAAAAAAATTTCCACCTACAACACTTATAATTTCTTCTAGCCATCAAATGGAATGCTTCCTACTGATGAAATCGATTGTTCGCACAGCAACATATACTTACTCAAAAGATACGCAATCGTTGCACCTTTCTCTTTATGATTTTCTAAAATTGTTCTTTATATTCATCGCGTAAATGTGCCTAGAAAAGTACCCAAACGTAACCCTACATTTGTGGCCGATAGCGCTTCGCCGTAGTGGGGCGGTATTCAATTTTGGCCGGCCTAGATTAGGCGCCGACCTTATTTGCTGCAGTTGACACCGAACCGCCTTCCATGCACTTCTCAGCCAGTTAATTTTAATCCTTCGGTTTTTGTATTTCTCCAGAATACACCTGACTGTCCTACAAGCCTTTCAATAGCTCGCAATCTGCCAGCGCACGTGTTGGATATTTGTCGAAATAATACAGAGAATAAGAAATGAATATGACGGAGTGTAGTATGTCGTTTCCCTCTTTAACTTTTCGTCTACAGTTTTTCCACGGTAAAGTTCCATTAGTAGATAGTTTCAGCGATCAAAATGTAGATTTTTTTTTCGCCATATGAATCGTACGAACATTTTTAGATAGTTTAATTGGCAACTTCGCCCACTGAAGACTACCGACTGGATTTTGCTGGGAATTTTGGGGTGCTCATTGGATTTGACACTAGAGTCCGACACAATATACATCTTAAAACTGCATCTTACTTGAAAATGGTGTCTGAGCCAGTAATTACGAGCCCACAGAGTTTTATTGTTCTATGCTATGCGTTCCTGCTAATATCCTTCCGCATATCTGTCGTAGTTATGCCTTAAATTGAGTATAATGACAAAGGTTATAGGGCCAAGAAATCAGTGTTCACCAATCCTTCAATGATGTGTCATGCATACGACCATTTGTATCATCACAGAGGTGATCCAACTCATATTTGTTCTCACAATTATTTATGCCAGCCTACCAGTCTAAATATCAAGGGAGTGCTCTTATCACGGCAACTAAGTGTGGTACCAATTGCTGACCCCATAGGAATGGATGGCTTAGTTTCCCTCAGCGTGTAACCGAACCCGTGAACCTGTGTGCATTGAACGGCACCTCTCACAACTATGCCACATCGTGTAGGAGCGCGTGAGATGTGAATAATGACCATAGTAGTTTGCACTTCATCTGCGACATTTTGTTCATTTTATGGTTCACTCTTGCAAGAGCCTCATAAGATGGAAAGATTGTTGTGAAAAAAGTATTAAAACCATGTTTTTTCAATCTAGCGTGCACCGAAGTGCACTAAACTCAAAAAACATCTCAGAGCTTTACATGACGAGTGCGCATTTTTGCAATCACTTTGTTTTTTGGAAATTAGCTGGAGGATAGCCTCAGCTCTCCAGTTCGACAGTGTTTTTAATCGACTCTTCGTCGAAAAAAATGAGTAGTTTTTCTTCCAATGCGACTAATAAACATTTTAGGCCGCAATAATACAACTCTACTACTTATAGAGTTAAGGGGCGCTTGTGGCGCAGTGGTTGGAGGCGTCACTGCTACACTCGCGTGGAATTGATCCCTGCGCCCATAGCCCACCAAACCTTCCATCCCTCCGGGGTCGGCAAATTAGTACCAGACTTGTCTGGGAGGATAGTAGCACTGGCTCGACACATCGGAAGGCCACCGCGAGTCATTGTGAAGGACAGATATGCACTCATTCACCTCTAGCGATACTTAATGAAGTCGAATGCACGGCGCATTCCTCAGGGATTGATCAACGCCGAGATCTTTATCCTTATCCTTTGTTATTCATCGGTGGTATCAATTTTCAAAATACCACACCACTTTAGTGAAGTGGGTTCCTGGATCATGTTAAGTTTCGGTATACGCTACACATCCAAGCATTGTTATCTATGCTGAAAAAGAGTTCAACATTTTCATCCAGATGTCCAGCTAAAGTATGCCACCATCAGCAATTTATGTAATCATTGATGGTAATCCGCAAAGACGGCCTGGATATCTTCTGGCAAAGATCTAGGAATGCCTTTAAAGACTCCAAGACGGATGAACTAGTTAAATTTAAGCCATTACGAGGCTTGAGATATAATTCGTGAGCGTGCGAGCCATTCATCTAAGTTTTACTAATTAGTTGCTTAGCTACTTCGATGGCCATTGCTCACTGGTTGTGCGGGGCTCAGCAAAATCACCATTTTTTCGGATCGCCGTCTTGTGGATCAAAGGGAGATTTGCCATCATGCGACTAGTTTGGTACCAAGATAAACATCCTGGTATTGGTTCACTCTTAGCAAGGCTTCCTGATGGAAGCACCGGACTCCTTCCCAGCTTGGGAGACGCTGCTGGGTGGATGATTCTTCCCATCGTACATCTCAACTCGACCTCCAGGAACACCTCCCAACCATGATGAGGTGGTAAACCATTGGGAGGACTTTTAACTACTGCTCTTATTAAATTAGTAGTGTGATGTTTACTCAAAGATTTGACATTATTACCGAACACATTGATAAGCGCAGCACAAACATTACCCGTTTCTTCAACCTAGTTCTGCAATTCTGAAAATAACTTTTTTTGAAAGAACGCCAGATATGTGTCGATTTCTAGTTAGCTTTCTGTGTTTCGGATATTTGTACGATGCCATTTACACGAGAGCTTTCGAATCTGTCAGATTATTAGTTTTTCGACTATACCGCTTCAACTGTTGAAGATTACGGCGATGTGATCGTCAGAAAGATCACGAAGTTTGGCCGCAGGTGTCTAGTATTCTCGTATTAATCAATGTATCCTTTAAATGTGCACTGAATTCAATTCTTGCATGCTCTTCTCATGTTCTTGTAACTTTACACTCCAGTTACCTATTAAACCGTGTGATTTGCGTTGTTGTTCTGTTTCTAATAACCGAAGGCTTACAAGCATTTGAGTTTCCTTGATAGACTGGTGATGTAATTTTAGAATGAATCAAGATCGGGTCGAATTTAACACGACGAAGTCCGATGGTTACGACAACATTCCTGTCCTACAGTTTTTACCACCAACCGACGAACCATCATCATTTGCACTGGCAATTTCTGTAACTCTAGTCGGTTGCCTCATAGTCGCGATTTGTGGTAATGTTAGCCAAATGGTATTGCAGGTATGGTACTTTTCTTTGGTTACACCAATATTTGGGCGCTATAAATCTAGTGGAAGTAAGAATGGATACGGTAGCAGCTTAGATAGCGACAATAAGTGCTTGTGTGGTAAATAAATCATCTTCATTGAAATAAATGGTTCTGTACTATTACTTACATAGCGTGACTTATTAACATAGCACTAAGGTGGTACTCGTTCGCACGAAGTCCTGTTTGAACTCCATTCATTGCTAGTGCTGATAAACAAACCCATCTTATGACTTTCTTCTTCAAATTACATTATTGTCTAAGACTAAACGTGTTTCCCTCCCAACGGTTTACTGCCTCATCGTGGCTGGGAGGTGTTCCTGGGTGTCGGACTGCGATGTTCAGCGGAGGATTCACCTCCTGGCAGGGTCTCCCAGGCTGAGAAGGAGTCCGGCGTTTCCATCAGGAAGCTTACCTAAGAGTAAACCAATACCAGGATCCACCACCGTCCTGGTATCAAAGTCGCATGGTGGTATATCTCCCTCTGATCCACAAGGGCTGTGACTGCCCGTGGTGATGAAGACCTGGGCCAGACTTTCGCCTGACTGACCTCGAGACTCCAGGGAACCATAATGGCTTAACCAGCAAATTTCCGAAAAAATGGAGATTGTGCTGGGACCCGTACAACCAATGAGGACGGGCCATTCAAGTATCAAGTATCAAGTAAACGTAATTCGTCGACGAGTAGATGAGGCAGAATTTTGGTAGATGATTTCTCTAACACGTCACTTAAATTCAATCTTTTTCTGAAATTCAAATTTAATAGATAAAAAAGCTGACAAGAGGTCCAAATTTGCGAAAAATCTTGACGCAAACAAAATTGCGAAGATTAGCCTCGCCTTTGGACGCCTTCTTCTACTGCCGAACGAAATTCCAATTCGACTAAAGAGTGAAAAAAGATATGGAAGCTCCATAAACCCAAATCTCGATCACCTCGTTGGCAAATTTTTAGAAATTTAGTGATTTTCGTCTCAGTTTGTAAAGTCTTAGGTCAGTTGCGACATGTTTCGTTAAAGCTGAAGGGTCAAGTTACTTCTAGGTGCTTATGAATTGAAATCAGTGCGATTTTTCGAGCAAATGTTAGTGTCGAGTGCTATCGAGTCTTTACGCCCTGCCTTGTCTCTTCTAGATCTCTCTTGTTATTTGTTAATTTTATTTAGATCTACACAAGACGACTGAATCGAAGAACTCTGCCGCAGTGTTTTATTGTTATTCTGTTTTTCGTCAACTTTCTGGTAAGCCCATGAGCAGGTCTCGATCGAGTGATATTTTTTCTAAAAGTATGAAAAAAAATTCTAGACATCGAACTTCAGCCTTTAATAATTCTGTAATGCTGCCTTCACGCACTTTGCAATTTGTGGCCGATGTCTTTTTTCTTCCAAATATGAGAAAAAATAGCCAATCGATATTTGCATTATCGTTTAAAATAGTTGAAAAATTTAATCGAAAATGGTAGGACCTCTCTGGGTACAGTATGCAAAAGTGTGCGCAAAGAGCCTATCGTCTATTCGAGTTCTTAATTGAATTTTTTTCAAGTTTTTCAAATTTTGAATTTATTCCAAGAACAGGATTGGAAAACCTGTTTGAGGTTTCGAGAACCGACTTTTTAACCTTGGCACTACTGATCAATAACTCGTTATTTTCTTGATGACGTCACACGAGGTTGTTAATTTACCATTTATTTACAGTAGCTGACGTTTCGGCGGATTTCGCTTTCTACAATGCCTAGAAAGGTCAAGATTACTGACTGAGTGCAATCAAGTCGGCCAACCCCTTAAATGTTTTGAGAACTGCCGCAAGAAAAAAGCCACAAAACCCAAATTTTTTTTGCATCGGAAACAAAATAGACTCTTCACACACCGTTTACGGCGAGCCCTCCACTGAGTCTTTCACGTGGAATTAAACCGCACGGAGTTCACATGGAGGAGTAATGCGCCTCTCTCACGTTAAATCATCTGTGGCAGATACTGTCTAGGATTAGGCATAATAATGAGCTATTCATCTCTGCGATTCATTTTTGGATTCTTGGAATTTATCTGAACTGCCTTGGTAGTTTTGCGCTTTGAAGTTTTCGATTCCTGTGCGTGGGTGGTGACTTCTACCTCAAAATCTTCTTCGTTACGTCTCTGTGTACTTTGCGCACCTAGTACAGTGTCTGCTTTAAATTTAAGTTTGCCGACTACGTGTTTTTTTACAGCAACCCACGGCAGTCTACCTGTTTCGGCAAAGCATTCCTTGCACTCGGCTTACTAGAAATTCGGTAGATCAGAGCAAGAGCGAGCGACCGACTCGAATCATTACAACTCTGAAAGAGGCGAAAGTGCTAAAACCTCAGCCCAATAAAAGTTTTATAACGATCTCGTCTTAGCTTAATATTCTAGGAAGATACTTGTTACATCAGTTGGATCCCTCAAGACATTGTTGTGAGCAAATGTGTATTCAGTAACCCTTGTGCGCTGGGACGGAATGCGTGGTGTATCCTTTGTAGATCGGTTAAGGCACTTATAAACAGTGTTATAAGCATAAACATAAACAATGTGATTGAAATTTTGGTTCAGCATTTTCTCTGTTTGGTTATGGAGGTGTTTGACCGTGTAGATTGCAGTTAACTTGACCTTTCTAAGCTCTCAGGAAGGCAAAATCCGCCGAAACGTCAGCTTGTACGTAAATAAAGAAATAAACTAACACCTCGTGTTTGCTAAACAGAAGTAGAAAAAATTATTCAATCAATTCCGAGGATAATAGAAAGTCGGACGTGGAGTGTTACAGGCACTTATCCCATATTTTCCAAATAATGTTTGAATTATGTCGGGTACACATTATAGGTGGTTTTTTTTTCGTGCAATGGCGTACACTCATAACTCGCGCCGATATGCTCACTTGGAGTTTTTTGTCTTGGCTAACAATATTTGTTTGCATCCAGATTCCTTTCGCACTGCCGTCGGTGATTCTGGAGAAATTGGTAGGAATATGGATGTTCGGTCAATTGTCATGTAACGCGTATCACATACTTACTGCTGCCGAACGTGTAATCGTACCATGGGGAATAGCAGCACTCCATGCTTCCATTGTTGGTGCAGTTTTTCTGGTCTGAGTTGGTATTTTACAAAAACATTAGCTATTTTAACCGTTTTATTTACTACCTACTCTTTTTAATGGCAGGGTATATCGTGAAATATAATTTCAATGATGCTGAGATATTTGCAAAACTCCGGACCGCAGGTGCCCACGGTCGGGAACGAACGCACTAGTATTGTTTCCGCGGAGTAACGCGTTCGCCATCACACCACGAGGGTCTTTCGTTTCGCCTATATCTCAGCTAGTTCTATCGACCTCTGCCACCACCAATCACCCTATTTTGATCAGCTATTTTGCAGAGAAAAAAAAGGTTTAAAAAGGAATTAAATAACACTTTTTAAAAACAACTACTGTCATGTTAAGGTAATGCTGTTAACTCGATCGAATCGCTTAACACGAATCGAAGGAATTCTAGCGTCATTCGCTTTCATCGGCCTCCTTCTATTGACACTAACTGTTGCTATCCCACAAGGAATGGCAGCCGAAGTAATTGCTTTTTTAATTGATTTATAGTTTTTCTTCGTTTTTATGGAAATTGAACGTCATTTCCTTGAATACATGAAAAAAACTGAAATAACTAGAAGAATGGGAACCGTTTTCGACTGCATTCGGAGAGATTTGGAATCACCAATGTGACAAAAACGTCTCCAGGAAAGTGTTTACTGCTGAGGAAAACTAAGGGTGAGAACAAAAGAAAAGCCATTCGGAATTCAAGAGAAGTGATAAGAGAACTGATAGCAGCACCGTCTGTAAGGTGATTCTAGAATAAAAACAGGGCTGAATTATCTCTCTTCCCAACGGTTTACTGCCTCATCGTGGCTGGGAGGTGCTCCTGGGTGTCGGACTGCGATGTACAGTGGGGGGATTCATCCCGCCGGCAGGGTCTCCCAAGCTGAGAAGGAGACTGGCGCTTCCATCAGGAAACCTAGCTAAGAGCAAACTAATACCAGGATCAACCACCATCTTGGTATCAAAGTCGCATGGTGGAAAATCTCTCTCTGATCCACAAGGGCTGCAAGTGCCTGTGGTAGTGAAAACCTGGGGCAAACTTTAGCCAGGCTGACCTCAGGACTCTAGGGAACCACAATGGCTTAACCAGTAAATTTCCGAAAAATGGTGATTATGCTGGAGCCCGCGCAACTAGTGAGGACGGGCCGTTCAGGTATCAAGTAAGTAAGAATTATCTCTACAGAAAATATTGTGCAGTTTTGTTAGTGACTGGGAATATTTTCTATAGTGATTTTTTTTTCAGTTGAAACTCATACATAAGGATAAAATCGACGGTGAACACTACATTATGCTCATACATACCTACCAATGTCTGCTGTCACCGGGCTCGAATCTGGCAACGCAAGTGATGCGATTCGGATTTGAATTCGTCGCACCGCTGTCGATATCCATCTATCTTCATGGACAGCTGCGATCAAACAATGAGCCGAAGTATCGAATCGCCATTATGAGAAACCTTGTAAGTACAATGTTACGATTTTGATTGTGGTGTACATCATACACGCCAAACAGAGTTTTTGAAAAATAACTAAATACCCAGAGATTTGAACAATGGCTCGCCTTCATGAGTATCGTAAATAGACGTGACCGAAAGCAGTTTCTATTTGTGTCAGTAAATCGCCATCGTTCTGCACGACAGCTGTTTTCCATACCTGCTGACGTCTGCAGCTATCAAAGTGATTTCCCTGGCAAACCTTTGTTATAGCTAATGTTTTGGCACGTTCGCATTCATTAGAAATATGGTGATCCGAGTCAAGTGTACACGCCAATTCTTCCTTCCTGCGATGTGAGCTTTCGTCTTCGTCATCGAGTTGACATCGAGTCGAACCGAGTGGAGTTGAGCGCCGCAGTTTTAGTGAAGTAATAATGAAGCAGCATGATTATTCTTGCCAAAGTTCAAAGAAATTCGGAGTTGGAAATTCATTTCTACAGGCCGTGAAGCGTATTCAACAGCATTGGACATGTTTTTGGTCGTGTTTCAAAGAATGGCTTTCCTTTAACCTTTTCATGACTTATTAGCGCGTGTTTTTCATTCATAAGCTAACACGAAGTTGATGAACAGTTTTATTCGGCTAATGCTTCGACGTCTTCGCTTTGTCTTCCTCAGGACCAGGAGTAGATGGGCTGCATTTGTTCATTCCGATCGGGATCTTCGCGATCGCATCGAGTTGAATCCAGTGGAGCAAAGTCTGAATGAAGTAACCTCAATTAGCCATGCTCTTTAACACAGATTGATTGTTGTTGATAGCGAATGCCCGGTGATAATAACTGCTTTTTCGAGAATATCCATCCTGTAGAAGTCGGTATCACTAACAGCTACCCTAGAGCGTAACAAAATTTGAAAAACCGACTTTCCTTTGACCTCGAAATGACTAATCATCATGTTGTGTTCTTCCATTGATAAGCTAGCACGAGAGTGATAAACGACTTTATTCAGCTAACGTCTCGACGTCTTGGTCTTCCGAAGAGCTGATGATTCGAGCTGATTGCCTTCATCTAGAAGCGACCTTGTAGCTATTCGGTTTACGGAGGAATTTCTTCCTACCTCGGCTACACTTCAAAGTCCTTCTTATCCATCTCTAGTCGGCCCTTCATATTATTAAATTTTCGCTTTAGATATGTATTTTATTATATGGACATATGATGCTTTAAGGCTCGATTTCGAGTCCATGGAAGGAGTGCATGCACTCTTTTGGAAACTCCAGAAGAGACCGAACAGATGTCGTCTACTGGTTGTATTTCGGCAGTTTCTATACGAATTTTTTTAAATTTGTAACTTTATAGATTCATCTGCATACAAACCAAATTGCCACGAAGCACTGTGGTATGGATGCTTAGTGATTTTTCCCAGAAACCCACGTATTGCTTTCCGTCTACTTTGTCCTACCTATTTCGTATTGTTCGTCATCTTCCCTGAATACCTTAAGTCCACTGTGTGTTTTATGTAACTGTAGAACCACATAACTTGGTTTGTTCTTCATCACAGAGGCATCTCATGAACTCAGCGTTCTCCGGACTTATTCGCATTATTATTATGGCTTTTTCTTATTATTCTGGCTTTTCCCGCATCTCATTGGACTCTTCGAGTATCATCGCTTCTTCCTTTCTATTTCTCGAATCATAAAATGATCATATTTATGCCAACAGCAAAACAAATTCTCGATTTTCAACTAATCGAACTAATAGCTCTACATGGAGAAACTCTGCTGAGAGCAATCCTATGCCCACTGTAAAGTCGCAGAATCATCGATCTTGATCATCTTCGACTTCGATACGATTTTCTTGCTTGAGGAACTGAGGCGAATTTGGCACATGTTACATTATATATCATGTTCATCACGCCACTAAGTACGAAGGGTAACTTCAACAGGCGAAAACGCGACGGAAGGACGCATTAGTTGGTGTCCATTCGAATTGCTCTATAATAAAATGGATTGCCATTTATTTACTTAACTGGATAACCGGTGAGGACATGTAATAAGTTAATTCGTTTTAATGCAATAACTTTTTTAAAAAATTCTCGTGGAAATGTCTTAATTTAGGTGTGCATTCTCATCATTCACTACTCATGCAACATTTTGTACTATATTCCGGAGAAGTGGGTCAGTACTGCTATGGAGTCCAAGGCATTTTTACTCTTTTTTGTAATTAGAGCTACTTCTTGTTCGATTTAGTGCCGAAATTTAACGTTTATTAACACTTACTAGTTAGGCCAGAGAGCGTGTGGCGCAGTAGTTGGAGGACACACACGTGGAATCGATCCCCGCGCCCATGGCCTACCAAGCCTTCCATCCCTCCAGGGTCGGAAAATTGGTACCGGATTTGTCTGGGAGGATAGCAGCACTAGCTCGATGCATCAGTAGACTACCGTGAGTCATTGTAAAGGCCAGATATGCATTCAATCACCTCCAACGATGCCTAATGAAGTCGAATGAATGGCGCCTCCCTCAGGGATTGACCAACGCTGAGAGCTTTTAGGCCGCTTTAAAGTTATAGACAATGACTGAAACTTCTTCTTAGCTTGGAAAGAATCAGAAGATTAATTAGTTGGTTTGAAAACTTCCTGTAGCTTCTTTTCCACAACTTGATCATTCTTTGATAAAAAGGATAGCTAAAAAAATGCTAAAAACATGAGCAAAATTTTTTTGAAACAAAAAACTTTTGAAAACACTCGTAAAAAAATGTAAACTTTATGCCATTTCAATTTCAAGGGACAAAAACAACTACTTGTAAAGATAACCGGTCGAATATACTGTAAATATTCTTTTAAAACGTCTTTATTTATGTTCTTTTTAGAGCACTGGGATGGAAGTACTGGACAAACAAGCTGACTTAAAGCAACTTCTAGCGTTCCTCTCGCCGACACTCCTCTGGCATCCTCTTGGCCAACTGTCGGGAGTGCTCTCGCGATGTTTCGGACAAAATCGAAGAAGGTCCACGACATTTTCGAATAGTCGTAAGACCGACAGTGGAATCTGACTACTTCCATCTAATGAATAGTCATTTAGAACGCTGAACGTTATTTTTGTCTATTCCTTCATTATTGCGAGTCCTTCATTCTGCTCTCGGGTCAGTGCGTACTATTTGTTTTCCACAGCCTCGTCTGTGCTCATTGTATACAACTCATTTTCTGTATGGTGAAATTTTCATCGTTATTTTCAGTATTTGAATCTTTTCCCTTCTCTACTAATAATTTAATCGCTTAGTTGTTCGGATGATGTCCTAAGGATATTGCAGAACTCTCTGAACCTTCCTGTTCTGAATCGTTGGAATAAGATTCTACGTGAAGACATAGACCTGACATTCAATAACGTTTCACAATAAAAATGCTGATAAACTTACTAAGGAAAATATTTCAGGTCGATTTTAACTGTGTCTTTAATTCAAGAAAAATCATTGGAATAGACGCATTACAAAATCGAAAGAAGGATAAAGAAAATTGAAGAAAGTACCCTTGCACTGAGAACGATGTATCCATCCATTTTAATTGGAATCTATCCATTCATTATCACCGAGATGTAGGGAAATCCCCAGTGAAATTAACAATAGAATAGTACTGAAAGATAGGGGAACAATAGAACAGTACTGAAAGATAAGGAAGGGAGGAGGAGTTCGGCGTTCATCAATCTCTGAGGTGCGGTCTGCATTTGACTGAGGACCATCTAGGTGAATGAATATGTATTTGACACATTCTTTTGCCCAACCGGTGCCATTAGGAAACACCTGTCAGCTTGTAACGACATGGGAACACAAATCGTCATTGAGCCCAGTTAAGCTGAGGCTGGTGGCGGTATCACAATGCTTAAATTTTTATTTACTGTCTATGATTTCTTCACGGCAGGATAGTATGCGAAATACAGCCACAACGATGCTGAGATAATCGCAAAATTTGTAATGTTGTTAACGCACTTCTACAAATCATCAGTCCCATCCATACAAATTCGGTAGCAAAGTGTAGCTTGGTCGTAACAGATATGAAGTTTCATCGTTTTCTTTCTCACAATCGCCAGGTTGTTAAACAGCATACGTTTACTTCCATACAATAACACACATACAATACAACCGTAGTTGACGTTTCGGCAGAATCGCCTTCTTCAGAACCGCTTTTTTTCACCTGTCTTCCACCGAGAAAGCACAGCCGCTCAGAATTGTATATGGTTGACTCGAGAGTGCGATTCTGCCAAAACGTCAGCTACGGTTGTGTTGTATGTGTGTTACTGTATAGAAGTAAACGTATGCTACCACAACGTTGCTGAGATAACTCGTATATAATGCTATGATATTTGCAAAACTTTGCGCGGCACATGTCTATGGTGGCGAATGAACGCGCTATTGTCCTTTCCGGAGAGTAACGTGTTCGACACCGCACCATGCTGGTCCTTCGTTTCGCCTGTCCCTCAGCTAGTGTTCTATCGATAATGAGAGACAGGCGAAACGAAGGACCCACATGGTGTGGTGGTGAACTCGTTACTCTCCGGAAATGACAATAGCGCGTTCTTTCTCTAACACAGACACCTGCGGTCCGGACTTTTGCAAACATCGCTGCATCATATGCAGTTTCAATTTGAATTCCATGAAATTCGAGCCACGGTGTTGCAGTAGCATGATGAATTCAACACAACCGAAGATAGTGTTCATACTACGCCTACTCGTAAGTTTGTGTACTTATTTGTAAGAGTGGGAATTCGTATTGCATGGCATAGAACAAAATTTCCTCAAAGAAATAAGGCTCCTAACGTTGATATATAAATTTGGAACACTTGTGATATCTCTTGAATAAATCGCGCCTAACAGTCAAATTGAAATCATATTCGACGGCATACAATTCAAAAGACCAACTTTCTATAAACCTCGGCATAAATAGTATATTACCACAACGTTGCTGAGATATTTGCAAAACTGTGGACTGTAGACGTCTGCGGTGGGAAATGAACGCGCTATTACCCTTTCCGGAGGCTAACGCGTTCACCACCACACCATGCAGGTTCTTCGTCTCGCCTGTTTCTCAGCTAATTTTATCGATCAGTTGATGATCACTGTATATCTGGTCATAGTGGTATCTCTTTCAGACAAATCTGGTGCCGTTTTGCTGACTCCGAGGTGCTGGGACGCTCGGTGAGCCTTGGCTCGGAATTGACCACTGTGTGTACTGCAGTCCCTTGTGCTACCCTCACATCCCTACTTTTTACTGCTTAACTTGCTTACTTAGATGTGTAGATAGAAGCCTTAACCACTTGAGTGGACTTCAGCACATTTTCCTTTCGTTTTTCTGTCTCAGAATTGTCGTCCACGGTGGTAATTTGATTCGAGCATGGTGGGTGGTGCGAGTCTTATACCGTGATCTGTGAAACAAATGCAGCTGCAAGTACAGCTTAGGCTTTGATCACGAAGATATTCACCTGACGTGTAGCTAGCCGTCCTATTGTATGACCGGGCCAGCCACGTTTTGCCATTCACCAGTCTCGAAGGTGAGATAGATTTCGAAGATCAGAGTTTCGCATTCCGGCTAGATGTTATGAATGCCAGTTAGATTTCGGAAGACGTCGTTCAAGCGTTCTGTGTGCCCTGCGCATGCTTCCCGAAATGGCTGAAGTATGAGCCTTCGCCTTTGCTGGAGAACAGAGTGCTAGGAGAGCTGCTGAGTCGATAAAGTGAGCGTAGATTTTGGGGTCCTCTAGTTGGTCGGTGGCTTATTTGAGAGGCCGAAATCCTCTCCTTCTTCTGTGTAATAACTCTTTCATGTTGTTCTACATGCTCAATGTGCTCACAACGTACACGTACACGACGTAACCTCTGTAGTCAGAAAACCATCCGGTTTGATCTATTCGCCTTCGCACCATGGATTTTTCATGAAGTAGTTCTTCTTCCGATTTATATGTATTCCGATCTTATTTTCCGCTTTCGCTGAGCTCACTGACCATCGTTCTGAATCGCTGGTACGTTTTGAGAAGATGACGATATCGTCGGAGAAGCGAAGTTTTTATAGGAGCTTCCCACTTATGTTTTCTTCATCCCAGTTGACTGGTTTCATTATCCACTGCAGTGCGGCAGTAAACACCTTTGGAAACATTGTGTCACCTTGTCGCACTCCTTTTCCTATGAGAAAGTTAAGAGGTCGATGGAAGTCCTTATTTTCATGTTGCAGTCTCGATAACAGTTGGATAGTTCTTGCACAGAGCGGATCCACTTCTTGGTCAACAGGCGCTGGTAGGATTGCTCTCGTTGTAATGTGAAAAAATTTTTCATAGTTGACAAAAGTCGGAACTAGGGACGAGTGGTATTCCCAGTAAACCTCAATGCTCCCAGAAACGGATTAGATGTGGTCTTTGCCGCAAAACCCTGACGAAATCCTGCTTGCTCAAGTGGTTACGCCTCATTTAATGTTCTTGATATGTGGGACAGAACAATCTTCATGAAGAGCTTGTAGAGTATGCTCAACAAGCATACCGAACGATAGTTGTGAATCTATTGGTCACCTTTCTGGGGAAGGATGACCTTGGAAGGTGTCCTCAACTTTTCTGAGATTTTTGCCTTTGAAAGGTGGAATGCGACATAGTTTGCGAAAACTACACGTAAGTTGTGGTTCAAAGCTCTAAGAAATTTAGTGGAAATATTGTCGTGTCCTGAAGCTGTGCCTTTTTCCATGCTTTCTATCGTAACTCGAAAATTAGAGGGACGAATTTCAGGTAGTTTTTCTCGAACCGAGTCCTTAGAATCTCGGAAGCGAAATAGAGGCCAAGAAAGGGTTTTCCGTTATTAATTCCACATCATGACGGGAAGTTTTGGTGCACCTATCTTCGCTTATTGGGAACTTTATAATCGCACAAGTTTTGCTGACGACATCTTTTTCAGAATGGTTTTTTTTGGCAATGATTCTGGAGAATTCTGCCTGTACCAACGTATATCTTTCTGCAAAGCTCTTCTGAAAGTGGCATTTATTACTAGCCGTGTTAAACGTGTGGCAGTAGGATCAAGCTTCAGTTTCTTTCTCTTATCGAAAAATCCCTCGATGGTGATAGAGACGCGATCCGATTTTCTTGCTTGAGGAACTGAGGCGAATTCGGCACAGCTTTTCAGTCCTTCGACAAGCAGCTCGTAGTCTTCGGTCGGGTCTTCTTTAATCTGCCAGTCACGTTTGGATAGGATTTCGTTCAAAACATTCTCCTCATATAGAACTAAACTTTCGCTTCCTGGCCGATAATAGAAATTCTTCTCCAGCTTACGGCCGAATCGAATCCTCGCGAGAAGAACGCGGTGATGGGAGCCACCGCAGAATTGTGAGACTATCGATGTGTCAAGTAAGCACCATATTCTGTTCGTCAGAATTTGGTCGATCTCAGTATGAGTAATGGTGTTAGGAGAATCCCATGTAAGGTGACAACATTCTTCTTGGGAAGAAATGAATTTCCTTGGAAGATGTGTATTGCGGAGAAGAGCTCCGCAAGACAGTTTCCATTCTCATTTCTTTCTCCTAATCCAAATATTCCGATCCTTTATTAGCTTTCGTTGGCGTTTGTTATTCTGGCTTTGAAGTTCCTGACAACAAATTTGTAATGCGCCTTCGTATTGTGGAAAACATCCTCCGACTTATGGTAGAACGTGTCTAATTCATACTCATCAGCTGCATCAGTCGGTAAGTCACAGTTGATCATAGTGATATTTTTGTTACGCGTTGGTTGAAGTCGGAGGACGGTCATGCGAGGGGAAAGGATCCTGTACGAGTCGAAAAGATGGATAATGGACGGGTGGACGACGTAGTCTATGCTAGCGACATTTTGTGGGGGGATCTTTTCTCCGCGGTTGACAAGGGTCCTGTTGTTTAGTTGGCGTATGTCGGTCTTCTTGATTTTTGTTCCTTGTAATGCGATCACATGAATTTAATGCGATCTGCGGCTTCCGAAAAAACGTGAAGACCGGCGTCTGATGAGTTATCTGGTATCATATCTGTGCAGAGTTGACAATGTCCATGGAGTGCCATG